TGCGGGTTTACAACTTCTTCTTCTGCTCTCCCCCCTCTCCCTCCCTCTCTCTCTCTCTCTCTCTTTTCTCTTTCTCGCCGCAGCTTTTACTGACTCGCGCGCGGCGTGCTTGCAGCATGAAATCGTAAAGTCGCGAATCAGATTCCCGAGGGCTTACTCAGACGGGAGATAGAGGCAGAGGTCGTTTCGGAGTATTCGAAGACCTTGTACAACGATACGGAAGTATTCGATGGCGAATTTTACGATACCCGCACGCAGCTTATTAGCTCAGCGTGCCAGAAGGTTGAATTTTCTAAAAGAGGTCAGGAGTATTTAAGCTCGGAAAATTGTGAGCGTATTTACTTATTCAGCCAAATTTGTCAAGATCCGACAAGAAATGACACATATTTCCTAAAAATCATAATAAAATTCCAAAAGATCAATTTAATGACGGCAAAATTTTATATTAATAATATAATATATCAAATTAACGCAAGAATTTAATGTAAATACAAAATATAATAGATATATGTTCTTGTAGTGTATCTTAAGATAAATGAAATGTTGGAAATTATATGACTCGTAATAATAAAATAGACCATTGATGATTGTTGTAATAGATTTAGGAGATCTTATTACGAAATGTGCCCGCTCAGAGCTTTCCTTTTTTCTTTAATAAAAGCACGAGAGGGATGCAACAAGCGACGCCTCACCACTATTCGAGAGGCTTTTACACGTCCTTTGTGTCGTTGAATGGCACGTCGTTCTGCATTTTTAGTTGATTCTCCCTAACGAAGGGCCGATAAAAGGATGTTTATGGCTAGCTCCGGATCAAAGGTAAGTGCGCTTACGCTGTTAGCGAAAAGCCGAGAGAGCCGGCTCTCGTCCGCAAAAGACCTTCACCCCCTCCCCCCTCCCACTCCCCCGACACACGACAACGACGATGACATTATAAACGTATGAATATAATTTACGTGTACCGCATACACAGGCATACGTAGGTATGTGTCCATAATATATCTCCCGTGTGTAACATCCAGGTCTTTAGAGAAGCTGAAGTTAGATACTCGCGCTCCAGCTCCGCTCTAGCTTTAATGTCCGCCGCCTGATTATAATCTCGTCAACAGGTTACGTCATTAGGAGCAGACTGTGCGGTAATACGTTCATTGTCTCTCTCTCTCTCTCTCTCTCTCTCTCTCCCCCTCTCTCTCTCTCTCTCTCTCTCTCTCTTTCCTCTCTATCCTCTTCACTCATTTGTTCAACGCATTTCCGTTCCGCCGTAAGCCGCGTCTTAAAACATTATGCACTTTTACTATCTTGCTGTCAAGCTTTTATGCGCGCATTCAAGTTCAGCATGTTCGTTTTTATTCGGTTTCTTTACTTTACGATACGTTTTAGTTAGAAAATACAACGATACGAATATCTCGCGCGATGCATTAATATCGATTTTCCCCAACTTGATTACGAGAGCCCGGTGTAATCTATTTGGGTGACCGCCTTTTTCCCACTAACTCTTCAGTAATGATAGCCGAGGTCAAAGGATGGGCGGAACTTTGCTGAAAGAGAAAATATGGGCGCAAAAAAAGAAGCGTGAAAGGCAAAGGATGTAGAAGAACCGCTCATTTCGGTTAATGACGGTACTTCCTGCCTGTCCCAAGGCGAAGCCTCAGGATTAAGTAATTTTTCTTCATTTTGATAATTAGAATTACATCTCTCATGAGCAAAAACTATCTTTCTAAATGAAAATCTTCAACATCAAACGATACATCGATTTACCGCCTGACGTCGTACTCCTTTTAATTGGTAATATTTTAAGTGGCGTGACGTGAACAAAAGAGCAAAACGAGGCGGCAACGCGATAAGGTCTGAAAATAGTTTCACGATTCTCGCTTTTGACGTGTTAACGCATTTCGACGCGTTGTATTTTCGCTGTGAAATTTGCTCCGCGCAAGTTTTTACTACGTCCCGAGTGACGTTTTTCCGCGCTTCGCGTCACGTTCGTGTGCGCCAGCGAGCGTTGGTAATTTCGATAAAAGGAGAGTGAGAAAATATTGCATTAGCACAGCTCGCCATGCGATGAAATAAGCAAAACGTGCGCTTACTTACGTGCGCGTACTTACGAAACCCGCCTGATCCGGATCGTCACTTATTTGCGTGTGTTACACGTGTTTGTTTCACGCGTTTATTAAAAGAATTACCGACGCTCGTGTCATATCTCGTTAAACGCACCGATGCCGCGGCACTCGATTTTGTAAACTTTTACCGTCAAAACAAATTGCATTTTATGAACCATAAACGTCCGTCGCAGGTCCGCGCAAAATTTATGTGCAGGACATAACATTCGTTACAGATATTATATCCATATCAAAAATAATCCAAAAATGGCACGCCAATTATTTTACCACCATCAGACCACCGATATCTATTACGACGTATAAAAAAAAAACACGAATATATCCATTTCAGAAGCGCGCCATAACGGATTGCTCTCCGCTAAGTTATTATTGCGATCGCGGAGTCGCGAAAGTTACTTCGAGGGGAAACTTGGAGTGAATTTAAAAGCGATTCACGTGGAAAGCATCGAGGACGGAAAATGTATCGGGAAACGCAACGAAAGAGAAATGAGATACGCGAGACGGAGATCTAAAATTACCCGCGTCGCGGGAGTAACGATATACATTAGTCGGGGAGGATAGGAAATTCAGGGCTACCGCCGCGGACACAAAAGCTGCGAACAGAGAGCGTGATGAGGGGGAGGGCAAGGAAGAGTGCTCGTGGTGGAGAGGAAATTTAGCGACAGTTTCGGATAATTTCTGAATAAGGATAACCCGGACACGTTCGTTGTAGTAGCCGGCGGCGGCGGGCCGACTGGTTCGTGAGCTAAATTAAAAGCACGAATTGCTCCGAGCTAGGAGAGCTCTCTTCCTTTGATCCGCTGGGGTGGCGGTAGTCGGGGGATGTGTACGTGACGTTATTACGAAGGCCCCCCTCGTTTATCGCGGCAAACGTGAAATCGAAGCCCGATATTTCAATATATTCCTCCCGAGTGTCGAACTTTCGTTTTGCGCAATTCGCAAAGAAGACGCGACGAGAAACGCGAGCGGATTTAGCGATGCAACAGCATAACCATTACGAAGACGCACAGTTACGGGAATATTCTCGCGAGTGACTAACGAACGCCTTACAACTTAATATACCGAGCCCTCCGCGAAGATACAATAACGACGATCAATCGATGAAATGTCAAACTATGCCGCGTCGCTTCTGCAATGCTAATGCGAAAAGAGTGTTAAAAAAAAGCTTTCAATCTTGTCGATACTCCAAAAAAATAAAACGCGAACGCTCAAGAAAGAGAAATAGTTGCGAATATCCAAGACAATAGCCGAAGCAATGTTCTATTCGATTGTCCACGTAATTACGTATAATAGTATATTACTAAAGACAAATTGTTAATTGTTGCAATTTATTTGCGAGAACAAAAACTAATGATAAAATAAACTCGTTATTGCTATTATGCAAAAACAAAAAGAACACGATTCAGACGATAGCCAAACACCCGAGAGAAAGGTTTACCGGTCTTTCAGTCGTTTACGAGATTTCCCTCGGATCGAGATCGTTGAAAATAAGCGAAGCATCAGTTTGCGCTTGGCGCCGCGCGCCTCCGATTTCAAAGTTACCCACCACCGTAGTTATTCTCGTTGTTTTCTCAGCATCTACTTACACGGCACGCCTCGCCGATCGCTTTCAAACGAAATATTACCGGAGCCAGTAAAACCAACGAAAACGCAGGGCGATACTATCGCCAACATCGATGTTTACCCGTTCAGCAGCTAGCCTTAGGAAAGAGGAAGATCTTTTCCGAAAGATTAGAAGAACGTTGAAAGCAAAACTTGTCAAGACTATGTTTACCTATCCAGAGGCTAACGTAACACCCACAAGAAACAAACCCGTCGCGCGTTATGACGTCGAGAACATAATTATTATATTGTGCCGAAGTGAGAAAAAGGTTGCAATCTAATGTTTCTTGTTTAAAAGCAAATATTTTTACTTCGGCTAGCACTCGTTTCCCTTCTCACGTTGTTTTTCTCGAATAACACTTTGATCTTTTAGTCATCCGTGACGATCTTGTCAGAAGCGGAGAAAAAACGGAACGTAGACATTCGAGGATTACTAACAGTATTATCGATCGGTATAAATTTGCGCGTCACGCTCATTTGTTAAAGACGCGATTTGTCCACGCGTACGGTATATTCACAAATAAATTGACAAATAAGTAACAATCGCCCCGTCCGTCGACTAATTACACGAGACAAGATGAAATTCACGCGACCGGCGCTCGCGCCACTGTTCGCGGACGATTAAATTCTGTGGCGTCCGCATTCCAACGATTGCGCAAGACGAATAGCGACCGAACGCTAGTTGACGTAGACATTAATCACCTTGAAGAACGCACTCGGCAATTTATTTCGCGGGTTCGAAGTCTTTTTAGAATATGCGTCAGTCGACGAACGCGGTATTCGTATATGCACGTGCAATTTCCGATTCCGATTCTCGCTGGAATAATACCTGCTTAACTTAAATGTAAGCAATTGAGAAATAGACCAAGGTTCGATATCTAATGTACACAATTTTGTAAAATTAATTTTTTTGTACGCAAATCGAAACCTGTTACAAATACAAATATGTACCATTTTATGGATTGCTCTTTTTACTTGTCATAAATAAATTTCATATTAACTGTATTTAATCTCAACGCATTACTTATACTCTATATTGATTACATAATCATCTGATAATATATATAAAATCCTATTGTAATATATTATCATATTATATCCTATTATAATTAACCAATATTCTTTAGAATAGTGTTGGCGCTTAAGAATTAAAATTGGAGTACTGTCAAAAGTAGAACGTATACTGAGACACGGTTAAAGAGATTACTATATATCACTAACGGCATCGTGAAACTTTTACATTCGTTTAAAATGCACCAACGGCTCCCTAAAGTAGGGTCCTACCTTGAGGTGAAGAACGAAGAGGATCTCTTCATTTTCCCGTGGGGCACTAATGTTTCGTGCCTTGGTAATTCAATGCGTCACAAACGACGGTAACGATCACACGATCACCGTACTCGTGGATGATTCTCGCTGTCGTCGACAAAAGCACCAACACCACGCACGATCGTCATTCGATAGCGAACACGAGAACGCGTAATTTCTACCGAAAATCGTACTTCCGTGTTCGATCTACTTCATGATCGGGACTTTCATTTTTCGCATCGAACTGGCCCAAAATGTTTTGACGTTAAGATAACGCACGACACTGACGTACACTGGGATCGCAAAACTGGGAATTAAACGGAAACGTGATACGGCCGTTTAACTAAAAACTCTCGAGCTGCTCTCGCGGTCCAAAAAAAGAATACGTATTCAAGACGAATATCCAATGACTCGTCGGCAGATGTGTGATAAATTCACTGAATCGTGATTCACTTCTGATGAACGGTAAATTCATTCATCCGCGAAAGAGCGGAAAATTAAAAGACTCACAATAATAGCACATCACCTTCGAGTGATTGCGAAGTACACCAGACGAGGAACTTCCGCTTTGTACTTCGGCCTGACGCCGTCAAAATATCCGGTCGATCGCGGAAACTATCGCATTTCACGCGAATCGCTTCAGCCGATTGCCAATATTTAACTGACGACGCACTCGCGACACGACGGCGATATCCGAAGCCGCCGCGAATCGACTGGAAACCGACGCTTTTTCTTGCACGAACCGCCGACTGTTCCGCATACCAACGGCAAACGCCACCGCGCCGCTTCGGACCGGAATTCGCGTTCACGAAGCACTCTGAGGTCGAGAAGATCCGGCCAATCCGACTATCCAGCCCGAGCGATTCGCACGCGCTGGCCGAACATCCCGCCGAAATCACTGGAACTCTTCTCCAAAAAAACCGCCGACCGCATCTTATCTGAGATCTTAATCACGAACTGGCGAATCGCACGATGGTGGAGCACAGCGGCTCGCCTGGCCGGGAGAGTGTCGGATCTTGAGATCCTAACTCGGTGAGAGGCATCTTCCGAATCTCCATCCGACCGCACAATTCAATCAACTTAGCTTGCTTCGAGACGGAAATCGGAACGATATTCAACTCCGGCGGAAACTCACCGATCGTTTATGATGGGCTCTCATCACGCTTGCACCTCAATGCCACAATCACCTGGCTAAGCACCGTGCAATAATCGCTAATAACCGCCGCGAATAAAGCATCTCACTCGCGAAATAAGTTCACTCGATATTCCGTCATAATATTGACGATCGAGCAATTTCGCGAACTGTTTACCTTCACTCACCGTTCGTTAAATTTAAGCTCGGTGTGTTTCGGTTTAAGCGAAGGGTGAATTCCCGCATTAAAAAGGACAATATTGAAGAATAGCTCGGAAGGAATTTTTTAGTATTCAGATTTCACTCAAGCGAAGATTAAATCTTCGTACTAAAATACAGCAGACGATACCGACGACGAGAGCAAAGCTTGTGACGACAACCTGTTAACGACGACTTGAGTGGAGCGCGAAGACCGGAGCACGAATAAAGAAGATTCGCTCTCGAGGACGGAATTCGCGTATTACATTCCTCATCACTTCAGCGAATGTATCGCGAGAGACTGCTTGAGAGTCACGCTGGGGAAACGTCTCGTCCATCGACACTGAAACGCACGGAGCTCTCGGAGACAGAGTTCGCGATGAAAATTCGCCACCCTCACAGACCGCCGCTCCGTTCGACCGTCCTTTTGTTCCTGATACCGCTCCGTTGTTCTCGTGATTCGCACGGATGTTATTGGTCGACTCTCGCGCAGCGTGGCGGCGATCGCAAGGTGACAACCGCTGCTGCCGCTGGTACTGCTCCTGATTCCTGCTGTTGCTGCTGATAGTGCTGCTCGCGCGGCGGTGGACGAAGGTGGCGACGGTGGGGACGGCGGTGGTGGCGGCGGCGTCGGCGTCGGTGGTGGTTTCACGGGGTGGTCGGTCGGTTTTGGTCGGTCGGGCGATCGGTCGGTCGGTCGGTCGTTCGATGCAAGTAGCAGCGGCAACGACTACGTCGACGACGACGATGACGACAACGACGACGACGACGACGACGACGACGACGACGACGGCGGCGGCGGCGGCGGCGGCGGCGGTGGCGGCGGCGACGGGTGGATGTGCCAGAGTGCGGGCTTACGACGGAATGAGAGGAAAGCTCGGCTTACGGGGGGCCGCGGCAGCGTGGCATCGCCGACTCCGCGATGAGCGAGAGAGTTGCGCGTTATCGACCCATTCGCGAGACTATATTCTGCTACTATACTCTCCTATCCGCACACGGCACACGCTCGCTCTACGCGTTTCGCACGACGTGCATACATGCGTACGTGGCCTACCTATCTCTACCTACCTACCGCCGAAAACTCGCACGCATGCACTCCGCGCCATACCACTCCACTCCACTTCACTCTAGCGCGCCTGCCCGCGTCGCTCGATTTTCGCGAGCAGCGCAGCATTACGGATACGTGCGAAAATTGTACGAGACGCGCGATCCTCTCTCGATCTACAATGGATCGATTTCGCGTACGACGCTCGTCCTTGCAACGAATGTGCCACCCTAGAAAGTTTTGGCGCGAGAAGAACGGAACCACGCGGAACGAAAAAACAAATTGCAGTACCTACGCTTCAAATAAGTTACACGAGATGAGGAAGCAAACGCAAAAAAGAAAATTTGTATAGATTAAACTGAGTTATCATAAATAAATAATTATTTATATCACACGTGACGTAATCACAATATCATACAATAACGATATCAATGTTCTATCGAAATATAAAGGAAAATTAAAAACCTTTCTAATACCAGCGACAAATTCGATCTGATGAGCAACGCATGAATAATTATAAAATTAATTTTTACGCAGTTATTCCTAAGATCCATTCACTGAATCCCGAGAAAGGGAGCGAGAGACCCGACACACCTTAAAACTTAATTATATATCGAGGATAATCGTAAACTACTAAATTCTGCGGCGCTGTCGCGCATTTCCCTGTCGCGCTCACGCAACATTTAACAGCCGCATTTAACGCTCAAACGAAATTTCCGCGTGCGTCCGACCGTGCGCGGAAGCGTTCCGGGTTTTCCGTTCCCCGATCGCGCGCAACAATGAGGCCCCGGCGCTCGACTTGAATATCTAAATTGTATCGACTGTTTCCGGCCGAATAGCGTCGATGGCTCTCCACGCGAGGACGAATAATTTCAGTGCATGCGCGCGGCGTACAGGGATGGCCGGAAAGCATCGGAAAGCGGAGTGGCGCGTTTCGCTCCGGTCGGTCGCTCAGCAGCAAACAACGCCGGGGTCCAAAATGGAATTTGTCGGGGCTGGATTACCGCAAAGCGCCACCAACACAGTTTTAATTACTTTTAATTATTCTGCCGCCATGTTCTTTTTGCACTGTACGCTCAATCCCCCCCTCCCCCTTTCACTCGCGGTCTTTTGATCTTTTCGAGATCGATCGTGCTTTATACGAAAATTTTCGAGTGGATTTTGATTGAAATTGTTTTAAGAACACAAAAGATATGTATGGAAATTGAATATAATAATAATAACCGGTAACTAGCATTATATCAAACATATGACAGGTGGAAAGCAGCACGATACATTATTGCCGAAAATTTGAAATGTAATTTCAACATAATAAAAATTTAAGATTTGAGAAATAACTACGTAGAAAATAAAGGTTTTCACGAATTAAGCTAAAAGTAGAAATAATACAAAAAATAGAAAAAATTAATAATTTAACTTTTCATTCTTGATGAATAAACTTATCCTTAAAATGACATTTCTTCTAAATTTATCTAAATGTAGACTTAACATATTAAATTCTAACTTTCGTGAAATTATTAATTAATTCCAAGAAATTGTTTCAAGAATCCAAAGTAGGATAACAGATTGTGCTTTCACAATTTTGTTACCCAATTGCATCCTATAACACGTATAACAGGCAGATTGTCATCCTAATGCCGTGAGCATTCAAAGCCATTCTACCCACAAAAATTAAATCAAAATTTTTCTTTATATGTTCAACGGAATAGAAAGCTTCGCTCTCTGTACTTCAACGCAGCGAACTATCTGCTAATTATCCACGGTCTTTAGTTGTGGCAAAAGACCGAGTTCATCGAATACGGACTGTGAAACGCAATATTCACAACGCATACTGCGTTTCGCATCGCTTTACGACTTCCAAAGCTATGGTTTTACGGCTCGATGCGATAGTATTGCAGCGCCATTGTGCCCTGACCCTGCAACAGCCACAAAGAGATCTGCTTGCGGGTCACCGATAATCTGAAAAGGTCCGATGAAAATGCACGGGAAATGGTGGGAAAAAAACTGAAAATCCAGCAGGGACTTTCCGCACTTTCGCGATAAAATCGAATACGTAAGCCAAGAAGCGAATTTATCTTTAAGGCAACACATGGATCCAGTAAAGCTTTGCTGTAAAAATTATATACTGCACTTTGTATATCGTTGTTAAGTGACGTGCACGTAATCTGAGATATTAAATTGTATCAGACTCTTGTATAAAAATTATATAAAAATTGCATTTGAAAAGTTATCTTTGTACAGGAGTAAGCCATGCGTTAATCCGCAACATTCGCGTTCATTTATTCAAGTGAAAATATTTCGTTTACCGACACAGTATCACCATAAAAATTTTAATGCAATAAAATACTGCGCCACATAACATTAATACACTTTTTATTTTTATCCCTATCATAATATCAAACCTCACAAAAATGTTTGCCAACTAATATAACAACGGCATAACCACGTGCCGCAGCATCGTTGACAAAACTGAATCGGCTTTCGCTGATAAATCATAAAAATGTTGCTGGTAGTTAAGATATAATTTATACTCGCGCGGATTATTGCGCACGGTTGCCAGCCGGTTGTCCGATTACGAATAACAGCGCACGATGACGATACTTTGGGGGTGGAAAAAAAAGCTTTTCGAATCCACGGGGGATTTAAAAAGGTAAAACATAGGTGTACACGGTGCAGGGAGGGGGGGACTGTGACGAAAGCCGAGAACGGTATTGACACAAGCTTCAGTTTAATTTCTCCGCCGGTAAACATTGGATTCCCATCGCTCGCGCGAGTCCTCCCGCACACTTCTCGTTCCCCTTTTTAACCCCCGTTCATCGTTTCATCGACGAGCGACTCTCGACTCTCGACCAAATCGAAACTGTAACAGGCGACATTCGGCATCGGCTAAAATATGCTTTTACCCTTTCCGAATTTATTCGCCGGACTAAGCCCGACATCGTGATATTTCGAAACGCGCTGCGGTGTACCTATAAAGCGCGGTTTTACTCCATCGCATAAAATGTGCGTGCCATGTTGGGCAAATGCTCACCGATAGTAACCGCGATATATCGTGTCATTTATTAATTGTATCTAATGCGACGCCAAATCCGCTAAACCTTGCATTAGGATACATTTGTATAGAATTTCACGTTAGAGTGATTAAGCGAGAGACGATTACGATTGTTTATTATTTTAACATATTTACCAGTATTGTGATTATTGCATCGTCTTGTTGTATATTAGAAAAATACGTTGTCAAACCAGATATCGAACTACATAAAACTTTTGATACAATGGCACAAAGACCATTGGTCTGACGATCGCCCACGCTGCAAATTACACGATGAATTTCGAAATATGTTTATATGTTTTCAAGCATACATGCTCTATACAGCAGTGTTGAAGTTACACAGCAGCATTCGAAATACGTAGCAGCGCCCGAAAACAAAAATATGCTTTTACCTTTACGTATCAAAATTACGCTTTCAGCCAGCCCGAGCTTGTTTAGCGTTGCTCCGGAATTAAGCGCGATGCGAGCTTGTATTTCAAAACATTCGAATGCATATATCGTGCATTCGATACCACATCAACATCGTGAATTTGCAAGACTGTTGTTCGCAAAGTGCCGCATTTGCCGATAACGATTGTCGATATAGAGCGCATTATTAATTAGCGCAAGTACGAGTTCGGGGGTTTGCGTAATGTCGATGTATCTGGCGCATTCGCGTGCTAAATTATATCGGAGTGACGTGGCGACAAAGTCGTAAATTTGCTGGCTTATAAACCGACCGGAAATAGATGAGCTTCTTTTCCGCCACGCGTATCGCGATTTATCGAAAACGGTCGCGGCTCGGGCGAGCAACGGCGACGGTACAGAAATTGGCTATTAGCATGGAAATAGTATCTACTTATGCTCGGAAAGGAAGCATTTACTCGGCGCGGCGGGACAATAACTCACAGCGCCGATATGATGAGTTCAGCGTTATGATAATTACAGTTTGCGATACCCAATTCGATCCCGGTCAAATTACCAACGAACATTCGTCTTGCCGTATCGGCTGTGATTTCATAGCAACGGCATGATTGTTCTACGATTAATTTATTCATTAATTCGATAACAAATTTAAGCCTCATTTCATCTCCAATTTGTTTAAATAATTAATATAATTAATACAATTTCTGTATATTCTATAAAATATTTTTATACAGTAAATCTTATAATTATCATATGAGGCATTGAAAAATGAGAGAAAGAAAGATGAGAGATGATATTTGTTTTAACAAAGTTATTTTTTTTCCAGAGTTCTTCAAAAATATCTTTCAGATTTTAAATTATAATAAATCTATATAAAAGTAAGTTAGTTCGTTATTCAGAAAAATATCAAGAATGTTATTGCGACTATTTATTAATTATACATCACTTTTTACCAAAATTTTCTCAAGATTTTATTCGAACGAATAGTTCACTTCGCGTAGGGAAGCTTTAATGATACTTTCAAAAAACG